ACAGAGCAGGAGACATACAATTCTTCCCCAAGGAGTTCAGTCGCAAATTTAATTAAAGCATTTTTTTAAACGAGCGCCATCAGCATGGAAGCATGTCCTCTGGAATGGTGGCTGAAGCATGAAGGGGCATACGAATGTTTAGCATATCTGGCACGTAAATACCTTGCAATGCCAGCTACAAAAGTGCCATGCGAATGCCTATTCTCACTTTCAGGTGACATTGTAAACAAGAAGCGGACAGCATTGTCTCTTGCAAATGTAAACAAACATATCTGTCTGAGCGATTGGCTGAACAAGAAGTAGGACTGAGTTTTACTTTGTTTTATTTTTGAGTGCAGTTATGGAACAAAAAAAATCTACATTTGTAAGTTGCGCTTTCAGGATAAAGAGATTGTACTACAGTACTTGTATGAGGTGACATCACTTCTGCCGTGCAAATATTTGTAATAAAAAATAATTGAAGTGAGCACTGTCCACATTGTGTTCTGTGTTGTAAATAAAATCAATATATTTGAAAATGTAGAAAAACTTCCAAAAATATTTAATACATTTCAATTGGCATTCTATTGTTTAATACTGCGATTAAAAGTGCGATTAGTCGCGATTAATTTTTTTAATTGTGATTACTTTTTTTGAGTTAATCGTGAGTTAACTGCGATTAATTGACAGCCCTAGTTCAAAGCTCTTTGCAGGATCAAGCCCTAAATGTACAGTGCTGACAGATGAAGGGTGTGAGAGGAATAAGGGTGGACAGCACTGGAAATTAGGCTAATAGGGAGGTAATTGAAAGCCAGAATCTGGAGGCCAGCCATGCACCCGGGAAGAGAACGTGAATGTTCTACAGTTTTCTTAACACTGTTCAGCTGATCCACAAGCTCACTTACAGAATGAGCTTTATTTGCTGTTAAATTTATGGCTTATGATTTAGAGGTGTGGTGTTTTTATTGAAGATGCAGTTTTCCCATCACCTAACCGGAATTAATATTTGTTTTCATTATGCTGGTTTTCTTTGAGCGATGTGTCTACAGCTCTAGTGACACCTTGTGGCTTGTGAATTACAAGAAAATATTCCTAAGAACAGATCCACAGAATAGTGCATTTCAGGTCACGTCCTCCTTCGTTGCTTAAAATTAACATTCTTAACAGATCACTTCTGAGTAATCTTCAATGCCGAGAAATAAGAACTATGGCCCCAGTTCAGCTGATGGAAATGGACCCAGGGAAAACAGCTTAGCACAGGCTTGATTGGGACTTAAGCACATGCTTAAAATTCTTTTGTGAACTGGGGCCTTTATAAATTAAGCGTACAATAGACAAAAGTATTTTGAATAAGAAACTGTATCTTTTTTATGCTTTACAAATACATTTGGAGATATTGGTGCTTGCCCTTTGATATTTGAATACTTTTGCTTTCTCACCCATATTTTTCCTCCTTTACTCTCTTCTTCATTTTCATGTAATCTTTTCCTGATTTTATTTTCCCCCCGCCCCATTCCTTTTTCTAATCAAATTCTGTTTTAACTTGGTAACTTGTTTGTTCATTCATTGGTTAACATTACACATGTGCATGAGTCTTTGCAAGAAGGCGGCGCTGGACTGTAAGCTCACTGGAGCTCTGACTGCTTCTTTCTGTGTGTCCACATAGTGCGTAGCACAATGGGGCCCAGCTCTTGACTGGAGTTTAGGGTGACCAGATGCCCCGATTTTATAGGGACAGACCCGATTTTGGGGTATTTTTCTTATATAGGCTTCTATTACCCCCCACCCCGTCCTGATTTTTCACATTTGCTGTCTGGTCACCCTACTGGAGTTTCTAGGAACGATCACAATACAAAGGATGATGCCGTTAGGGAAAAGTAAGACTTCCTGGAAACAAAACAAATGGTAAACAACGGACTCGACCTTGTGTGGGGATATATGATTTAGGGTGTGTTCAGGGTGAATGTACTATCAGTTTGCTGTGGAGAGGAGGTGGCCCCTAGTCTCAGAAGGATGGGAAGTGACAGTTGGAGGAGAAGAGGAAGGCAGTGGACGGAGGCAGGCAGGGGGCAGCCTGAGAGAGAGAGAGAGAGAGAGAGAGAGAGAGAGAGAGAGAGAGAAACACAGAGTCTGGGAGTAAATGCAGAGAAATAGGGTGTGAGGAGAGGGCAGCCAGAGAGACAGAGGGAAACCGGACTGAGAGAAACCGAGAGTAAGTGGAGTGACTGAGGTTGAGCAGGGCAGACAGCCGTACAGAAGAAGGTTCTTTTAGTTTAAAGCTGGCTGGTCAAGTCAGTCCATGTTCGATGGCCAGTTCCTGAGCTTCCGTTCCTGATCCTCAGTTCTGGTTGTCTCCTAACATTGATACATGTGGTGCCAGAGAACTGGAACAGGAGAAGCAAAGGTCCTTCAGATCCCATGGGTCTGGTCTAATGTCCACCCCTGCAAGCGAGCACCACTGGAGTCAAGTCCATCCCTCCAGGGCTCAAAGACTGCCTTGAGCGTTAGATAGGCCCCAGCGAGTTATCTGGGGAAAGGGGAACCTTGAACTAACATAATAATAACAACCTATAAGATAATAGCCTGTGCATACAGAGATAGATATACACCTCTACCTCGATATAACGCTGTCCTTGGGAGCCAAAAAATCTTACCGCATTATAGGTGAAACCATGTTATATCAAACTTGCTTTGATCCACCGGAGTGCGCAGCCCCGCCCCCCCCCCCGGAGCACTGCTTTACCACGTTATATCCGAATTCGTGTTATATCGGGTCACGTTATATCGAGGTAGAGGTGTATTTCTTTATTTAGCGGGTTATATTGAGTTAAATACACTTAGTAGTAAGTTATTTATATATATATACACACACACACCCTGTTATAAATGTTTTTATGATATACATTCTTCATCTATTTAATGTTATTGTGGGTAGGTCGAATCCAGTTCCGTTTGTTCCAGTTTAAGTAAAATCCCTTTTATTTTATTTATTTTTTGACAACCAGTTGTATTATCTTGGCTCTCTCCTGCTGGGTAAATTATACCATCACTGTGATGGACCATTACTAGACCTTGGTTGGTGGTTTTGGATGGGGTCCCTCCCATGGGGACCCTCGGCTGTATTACAAATTAAAAACAGAATAACCCGACTCTGAGAGGTCTGTTTACAAAAAAACAAAACCCCACCCAGAAACAGCAATTCTCAAGGATAGTCGTCAAAACAGATGATTTAACCACATAAACAAATTAGGATAGAGAATCATAAAATCACAAAAACATAGGGCTGGAAGAAACCTCAAGCGGCATCTAGTTCAGTTCTATGAATTGAGGCAGGACCAAATAAACCTGGACCATCCATGGCAGGTGTTTGTCCAACCTGTTCTTAAAAACCTCCAATTATGTGGATTCCACAACCTCCCTTGGAAGCCTATTCCAGAGCTTAACTACCCTGATAGTTGGGAAGTTTTTCCTAATCTCTAACCTAAATCTCCCTTGCTGCAGATTAAGCCCATTACTTCTTGTCCTACCTTCAGCAGACATGGAAAACAATTCATCACCATCCTCTTTCTGAGAGCCCTTAACCTATTTGAAAAATTATCAGGTCAGACTAATAGAAGCAGTTTCATGGCAATAATGTAACTGAGGTGGTGATGCTTAGAACACTATGCTATAACCGCGCTTTGAGACCCAAAGGCTGACTAGGTCTTTAAAAATCCATTTGTCTTCATCTCACAATATCTCTTCTTTTTGTGCATGTGTACACACACACACGTGGGTGCACCAAGGAATGTTCACTCTCTGTGTGAATCCTAAAATTTCTTGCTCTAAAATCACCCTGCTATTTGGCATATCTTGCTATTGACAGGACTTCAGTGTCACAGTTTCTACAGCCGGTGGGGAAAAAAGAAAAAAAAAGAAAAATTGTTTCAGTTTTGCAGGGTTTTTTTTAAATTTTCATGAAATGTTTTTTGAAAACGTTCAAACTATTGTTTGTTTTCCCCTCACTTTTTCCTTTTTGCTACTGAGTGCAATAAAATGAACAGCGTCCAAGGCTTCAGATTTTTGGACACTTTTTTCCTTTTTCTTAGTCCTGGACTACATTGAACAATCAGACTGATCTAACTACATCGCTCAGGGTTGTGAAAAATTTCATGCCCGGAGCACCACAGTTAGGTCAACCTACCCCCCGGAGTAGATGCAGCTAGGTCATCAGAAGGGACACCACACACCCTCCCTAGGAACCTGGTGGGAGTGGGAGGACCAGGGCTCACACTGGCACCCTATAGTTGGGGAGAGCAAGGATAAGAGGGAGGCAAAAGCTCCACCCCATAGGACCTAGCTACCACTTTCTGTTGATGTAGGAAGCGTCCATATTACGGCACTACAATGGCATAGCTGCAGCTGGCCCTTTAAGGGGAGATGGGCCTCAGTCCTCCTGTGACAAGCCTAACTTGCCTCCCCAGGTGAGAAAATGATTTTGGTCATGTGACTAAGTCAGGCCAAGCCTAGGGATATATAAGGGAGAGACACTAAGGGGACACTAAGGAGTTGCTGGATAAAGAAGTCAACCAGCACACAGGATGGAGGACTGTGAGATCCCAGACTTGCGAGGTAAGTTACATGCTGGGGAGGCCAAACTTTAAAGCCACAGTCACAAGGCGGACTCAGACCCTACATCTGAAGAAGAGTAGAAAGGAAGCTTTGTGGGAGTTGAATTATATTGAACAAATCAGACTCCAGGAGAAGAGGAATATTGTTTCAAAGACTTTGCTTATGACTGAATTATTTTGGCAGAACTCAGAGGGAAACCGAGGCAGGGTGCCTATAGGGCTGTCCTAGGCCATAATGGGATGTCCTGGGACAGTTACTTGTCTCTACACCTTTTAGTTTACATTTTTCCACTCGAACTTTTCAAAGATGAGGGAGCTTTGAAAAGTTACAGCAAGGAAAGAGAGAAACAATGAGGGAAAAAATAGAAGAAGTGAAAGGAAAAACCCTCAACATCCTTCATTCTATTTATTCTATTTGGTGGCAAAAATGGGGAGAAAAGAGGAGGAAAACCCCAAAATCTGATATTTTGAAAATCAATTTACGAGAACTAAAAGGAAATGTTCATTTTGAAACAAGAAAATTGTTTGTAATTTTCTGCCAAACAACTGAACAACCTTCATGAAATGATATATTCCTGCAAAACAACTGTTTTCAATTAAACTCTATTTTTCACAGGGAGTCTCTTGGCTGAAAAAGTTTAAACCAGTTCTAAAAATGACCTTTTCTAAGCTCACTCAGTGATAATGAGAATGTTGACAATGAGTCTTATATACATGAGGGGGCGGAGCATACAAACTTCAAATGGGCTCAGATACCATGGCGACAGATGTGGCATAAGTGGATGGATCCCTTTGAAATTAAGCTCATCGGCACAAGTACAGTATATGTAGTAGAAATAATAGTAGCAAACCTTCAAGTAGTGTTTGATATTAGAGAAAAGAAATGCAGTCAAAAGTCTTCCTTGTGAATGCTCCTCCGTGCTTTGAATACACGTACATCCTTACTAGGATCGTAGTGGACCTCACGTACCGAAAATCGTCCCTTCAGCATCTCCAGGAAATTCTGATCCCGTTCATAGCGAATCCGACACGATAACAGAATAACAGTATGTTCTGAGCACAAGTGCTCCAGTGTCTGAAGCAGATCTGCAAAGGTGTCTTCCAGATAAATGATGTCTGCGCCCAGGATAAAGTCAAATTTTCCTGGCGAGAAGTTCCCCAAGTTTCTTCCCCAAGTCAGTTCCTTTACCACAGCTCTCGGCTGGAGGTCGGGAGGTAAGTTAGCCTGAACGTTTGACTCGAGAAATTCCAGTGCGGCTTCCCTGTCTGTGATGGTGACATGAGCACCTGTGTGGCACAAGGAGTGTAAGTGTCAAGACAAATAACTGATGCCCATCGATACAGCTTTTGGAATACAATTACTCGTTTCCATTAAGGGTTAACAAAATTACTGAATAACAATGAAAACATTTACTGAGATGCTTGATTTTAAGTCAACTGACACTTGGAATATTTAGTTTTATTTATGTTTAATGGTAAAAATAGTACTATCAGATCAAAATCGTTTTTGGAAGACAGGATACTGGGCTAGATGGACCATTGGTCTGGCCCAGTACGGTCATTCTGATGTTCTTATAGTTTAATAAATATTTGATTTTTTTTTTAACATAAGAACATAAGAACGGCCACACTGGGTCAGACCAAAGGTCCATCTAGCCCAGTATCCTGTCCTCTGACAGTGACCAATGCCAGGTGCCCCAGAGGGAATGAACAGAACAGGTAATCATCAAGTGATCCATGCCCTGTCACCAATTCCCAGCTTCTGGCAAACAGAGGCTAGAGACATCATTCCTGCCCAGCCTGACTAATAGATTCATGGAAGATAGCCATTGTTGGACCTATCTAGCTTCCTTTTGAACCCCGTTATAGTATTGGCCTTCACAACACCGTCTGACAAGGAGTTCCAGAGGTTGACAGTGCGTTGCGTGAAAAAATACTTTCTTGTGTTTGTTTTAAACCTGCTACCTATTAATTTCATTTGGTGGCCCCTTCTTCTTGTACACCTCTACCCCGCTACAACGCGACCCGATATAACATGAATTCGGATATAACGTGGTAAAGCAGTGCTCTGGGGGGGCAGGGCTGCGCACTCCGGTGGATCAAAGCAAGTTCGATATAACACGGTTTCACCTATAACGCAGTAAGATTTTCTGGCTCCCGAGGACAGCGTTCTATCGAGGTAGAGGTGTATTATGAGGAGGAGTAAATAACATTTCCTTATTTACTTTCTCTATACCACTCATGATTTTATAGACCTCTATCATATCCCCCCTTAGTAGCCTCTTTTCCAAGCTGAAAAGTCCCAGTCTTATTAATCTCTCCTCATACGGAAGCCGTTCCATATCCCTAATCATTTTTGTTACCATTTTCTGAACCTTTTCCAATTCCAATATATCTTTTTTGAGATGGGGCGACCACATCTGGACGCAGTATTCAAGATGTGGGCGTACCATGGATTTATATAGAGGCAATATAATATTTTCTGTCTTATTATCTATCCCTTTCTTGATGATTCCCAATATTCTGTTCGCTTTTTTGACTGCCGCTGCACATTGAGTGGATGATTTCAGAGAACTATCCACAATGACTTCCATTATATCTGAATGGTAACAGCTAATTTAGACCCCATCATTGTATATGTATAGTTAGGATTATGTTTTCCAATGTGCATTACTTTGCATTTATCAATATTAAATTTTTGAGATCCTTTTGTAGCTCTTCGCAGTCTGCCAGGGACTTAACTATCTTGAGTAGTTTTGTATCATCTGCAAATTTTGCCACCTGTTTACCCCTTTTTCCAGATTGTTTATGAATATGCTAAATAGGACTGGGCCAAGTACAGATCCCTGGGGGACACCACTATTTACCTCTCTCCATTCTGAAAACTGACCATTTATTCCTACCCATTGTTTTCTATCTTTTAACCAGTTACCAATCCATGAGAGAACCTTCCCTCTTATCCCATGACTGCTTATTTTGCTTAAGAGCCTTTGGTGAGGGACCTTCTCAAAGGCTTTCTGAAAATCTAAATACACTATATCCACTGGATCTCCTTTGTCCGCATGCTTGTCGACCCCCTCAAAGAATGCTAGTAGATTGGTGAGGCATGGTTTCCCTTTACAAAAACCACGTTGACTATTTCCCAACAAAATATGTTCATCTATGCGTCTGACGATCTTGTTCTTTACGATATTTTCAACTAATTTGCCCGGTACTGAAGTGAGGCTTACTGGCCTGTAGTTGCCAGGGTCACCTCTGGAGCCCTTTTTAAAAATTGGCATCACATTAGCTATCCTCCAGTCATTTGGTACAGAAGCTGATTTAAATGATAGGTTACAGATGACAGTTAGTAGTCCTTTGAGTTCCTTCCTTTCATTTCCATTTTAAAAGGAAGTCTGTCATAGTGGCTAGAATTTATGACTAAAGGGACATCTACACTTGAATGTAGTCCTATTTTAGTTCAATGAGATATGATCAGCATGGCAAGTTTAGGCAGTACACAAACTTGTGTGCTGTTTGCACTAGATTATAGAATTGTGCTAGTTAACACATGTTAAAGATGACTTAAAATTTAAGAATTGACACACTGGAGCAGATCCTCGGCCGGGGTAAACTGTCATAACTCCACTGACTTCAGTGGGATCAGAGTCAGACCACTCCCACCCCACTTCTACACTGATGTAAATTAGCAGAAGAACTCATTGGCCTAATGAAGTCAATGGTAAAACTCTCATTGACTACACTGGGTACAGAATTAGGCTAAACTGAATGCTTTTGAAAATTCCCCACCTAGGGCTCCAATCAAGTCCACCTACACAGATCCAATTGCAGGATCAAATCCTATGGCTACAGCGAAGGTAAGAAAAAAATGTAAGATGGGGGGAGTCTTCTTAGCATATGCGCAACGTGCCTCAGGCGGCACATGACCAGGATTCATCCCTGAATTTGGTCCGCTGGTTGGATCATTAGCTCCCCAGCTTGGACTGGGTACTGAGGGGGCGTGCGACGTGAATGCTGATCCATGCCTCCCAGGGGGGCGTGGGGTAATAATGTATTGTTAACACATACAGTGCAGGAATTAATTACAATTAGAACGAGTGAGTTTCCCAGATAAAGAAGGTGCTAGTTTTAAAATGATCAAATACCGGTTGCTTTTCAAACGAGAATCAAACTAATATTAGTTCATATTAGTGGAACTGAGCATCTGTCAAGATCTGTCGGTGGTCAGGCAAAGGAGTCCAGGGCTACCTTTACTCTTAGTCTGTGCTACCGCTAGGGTGTCTAATGAAACTCTGAAACAATCAATGAGCGAATACAGCAGGAAGCAAAGCTAGGGCTGTGAGATACCAGACTTATGACTGGCCCCGCTGTTGGTCTAGCGATGCCGTGACTCACTATGCACACCCATTGTAAAGGGGAGGCAGCGCAGCACCGTGGATGGGACATCAGACTAGATCAGGCGACCTGAGTTCAGTTCCTGGCCCTGCCACTGAGTGATGGACAGAACTTGGGCAAGTTGCTGAATTGCTCTGTGCCTCAGTTTCCCTGCCTGCAAAATAGGGTTAATAATGTTTATGCATCTTTGTAAAGTGCTTTGCTATCTGTTGATGGAGCTCACTATACAAAATGTGAAGTATTAATAAAGCTGAAGGACACAAGCACAGCATTTATTCCCTGGGGGAGAACAGCTACAGAAAAGAAGGGGAGGCCATTGAACTCACTGCCATGGAAACAGCAGGCAGCCTTAAGGGGGTTCTACTATGAAGAAACCTGGTGTAGCACCATCACCACAATAAATAATGCAGGAGGCTCTAAAGCCTAATAAGGAAGATGAGCCACAGAGGAAACATCACAGTAACGGTCACATCGCTTGGCTGTTACAGCAGCCCTGTCACCTAATGTGTGAATTTTACGGCAGCACCGATTTCTTAAAGAAAAACTTACCCAATAACGTGGCCACTATTCCCAGCAATCCAGTTCCTGCTCCTAGTTCAATCACTGAGCGCCCTTGTAGATCAATACTTCCCATCTCCAGATAAGTACACAGGACGACAGCCTGAACCAAGAGACAGGACTAATTAAGACTTGGGGGTAATTTAGTGATGCCAGACCACAGTATTTCTGATTGAAACCAGTAGAGAAGGTTGCAAGACACAATCAAACACCTCAAGTCTACAGGTATACTTTGCCATCCATGTTATACAAAGGCTGATGAGAGGCAGAGAGGAATGTCCAAACTATCAATCCTGCAAAGTCGGTTAAAATAATGACATGGGCCTGTTTCTTCATTAAATCCAAAACACACCAGAAGGAAGCCGAAAAAGAAACAGCTGCACTAAGAAAGGAAAAGCAGGATTTTTGTTGATGCAAAAACGAATGCAAAATTGCAGAACCGTTGAGCTGCACCATTGCCCTTTATCGTATTTCTTACAACTTCCCAAAACCGTTCAGTTTAATCTTGGTACATGCTCGGCATGCTCTTCCATAATGTGTGTGAAGGTCAAGCAGTTGAGCGTAATGGATTAAGAGCACTTCTATTTAAGTACAAGTTAAATCCAATGTGAGCTACTGTGAAGCAAGTTCCCACACCCAAATCAGGACTTCGCAAGAGCATCTGCTATAGAAAATTCTGTCTCATCAATATCAGACTTCTCCTTAGGAACGGAATGATAGCTGTGCTAGCGTATATGCTCCAATTAATATGAGCAGTTAAACTGCCAAATTCATTATTTATGATCAGAGAGAGAGACATGATTTAGTGGTCAAAGCACAGGACTAGGACACAGGTACAGCTAAATTCCAATACAAGGTCGACCACTGACGACTCCTGTGCTTCGGGTTCTCTAGCTACTACATGACGCTACTTAACTATCTCATCAAGGTGGTGTGGGGATTAGTGGATGTCCAGTGCTTTGAAGATTAAAAGAGCTATGCAAATACGAAGTATTATTTTATTATTATTAAGACTTGGTTAAAAACATGGGAAAACAACTTTGTGATAAGTCTTGAAAGTGGCCCCATTTCCCACAAAGTCTTTCGTGGGTTTTTGGTTTTTTTTTCAAAATGTTAAACTTTCTATTGCAGTAATTGTCAACATTTTTCCATCTACCAAAAAAATGGATTTTCTTACTGAAAACACAGTTTCCAGTACACTAGCAATCTAACAACAACAAAATCTAAAAATATTGAACATTTAGATCAAAAGTATCAATTTTTAAATGTTGCAGAAAACTGTGCAAAATGGAAAGTTTTGATCATGCTGACAATGTACCATGAAAAGATTTTTTTTTTGCACTTTTCAATTGGGGAAAAAACTTCTCATGCAGAAAATTTGCAGCCAGCTCTCCTAGGCTGCTGGGCATGTCATTTCACCTGTCTATAAAATGGGAATAATTGTACTGGCCTCCTTTGTAAAGAGTTTTGAGGTGTACTGATGAAAGGCACTACATAAAAGCTCAGTATTATTAGGAGTTGGACTTGAAACAGACACATGTTCTGCACAAATTGAAATATTTGTATTTTAATCATACGTACCGCGTCCCATACGACTGCTGCTACACCCAGTTGCTTCCAGTTTTGTTTGATTTGGATTGTGTGGCTGGCAAAGTGATACACAGATGAAGATTTATGGAACTTCTGCAATCCCCAGACCGCACTGTCGTCATAGGGAACCAACGCCATTTTATTATCCATCTATCAAATCTCTCTGACCTATGGAGCAAGGGAGAACAAGTCTATGTGAAACCTCAGTGAGAAAAGAACATCTGTTTTGTCCTCACAAACTAATTTGGCTTGTTTTAAATAACATGAGGAAGATTCCAAATACCGCTTTGGATCCTAATGATTCGCTCATTGTTTAGCTACTGTGGAACAGCTTCAACAAGAGACTGAAGGAGTCCCACTTGAGACTATCCCTTAGCTCGGTGGTTACGGCATTCACCTAAAAGGTGGTCAACTTCCTTCTCTCTCAGCTGGAGGGAAGACTTGAACTGGGGGTCTCCTACATCCCAGCTGAGTACCCTAACCTCTGGGCTAAAAGTGTTGGAAGAAGGCACTCCTCTCCCTCTCTGTTGTGTGTCAACTCGCGCGTAGGGGCTCATGCGGTAAGTGCTCTCTGAGCACACTTACCAGATAGGCCCCTCAGGCAAGTTGGACAGAGGAATGCCGATATTCCCCACTTGGTATCAGATGCATGTGTAAAATGCTTTGAATAAGATGGCAAGACAGCGTGACAAACGTGGAAGTGTTCAATCGTGCTGGGATGTCATTCACGGGAACGTTCATGAGTAAGAAAAGACTTAGGTGGCTTGGACAGGTCAAGCGAGTGCTGGACAACAGGATCAAGAGTGTGCTGTACTCTGAAACTCGCAAAGGGTCTAGAAAGAGAGGCAGACCACTGCGCAGATTTGGGGATGCTTGCAAAGAGGACTTCGTGTCCTTTGGCATCGCTGTGGATGATTGGGAAAGGAATGCAGAGTGCCGCTCTGGTTGACGGAGTCAGCGTGTAGATGGAGCGAAGCATTGCGAGGTGGACTGGATCAAGCTTTGTGATGACGGGTGTCAGAGGAGGAAAGAATCTGCTGCTTGGATTCAGAGCATTGCTCGTGCGTGGGTGTGCCCTCCGGTGCTGTCCCTAGCCCATTGGCCTCAGCAGCCATCAAAGAACTCACTGGCGCATACACCATGCCCTGTAAAGAGCGCTGGTACCATTGATTGATTGCACCCCCTGGAGACGGCAGTCTACGTTTCCTGCCCTAAACTGCCATGCAGTCTGATGATGCTCAATCCCATATCCTCCTGGGAATCACCTCACCCACTCTTGGGGGTGGAACAAAGCCAGTTTAATACCACAATGGGTTCAGACAGAGCATGAAGAATGCGACGCTGCGGAAGCAAGTCAAGGAGAAGGTAAATTATCCCCAGTGGACTTTAGCCAGGACATTGGGAGTAAGGCCAGTTACTGACTCCTGTAAGAATGCCCAGGTCTCGGCCCAACCAACGCATCAGCGGGCAGGGGGCCAGGTGAGCTTCATCTGCGGAGCTTTGTGGTGCAAAGGAAACGTGTGTCTCGCTGCTGCTGAGTCCCCGCCTCCCGCTGCCCCCCGCCGGGGAGAAGGCCTGGCTGCGGGGGCAGGAGCTGCCCGGGGCGGTGCACGCAGCGCCCTTGCCCCGCCGTGCACACGCTGGGGGGGGCGCACTGGAGCCCTCGGGGCTGCCCGGGGGAGCGAGGGCTCTTGGCTGCCCTCAGGGCGCCTGGCTGCACCCCGGGGCCGGGCACTCACCGCCACCGCCTCGCTCCAGGCCGCGCTGAGTTCCGCCGCACCCGCCCCGCAAAACCCTGCTCCCGTTTCCCTGCTGTGGGTGCGCTGGGCCGGCTCGCCTGCACTGAGCATGTCCCGTAACCTTCGCTGTAGCCACTGCCCTTACGTCGGCTTAGGGTTTGCTGCCGCCTCTTGGGGGGGGGGGGGGGGGGGCAGCGGGGTGCGGGGGGGAACGCCCGGGGGGGGGTGCGTCCGGGTCTGGGCCGGGGGGAGAAAGGGACGGGCCCGGGGGGGTCAAGCTACTGCAGCGGGCGGCAGAAGAGGGGCTGAAGGGGAAAACTCAGGGGTGGGGGGAGCCGCTGCCAGACCCCGTGCAGGGACAAAACCCCCGTTTAGGGAGGGGGGAACAGTGGCCCCGTGGGATGAGGCACCCGCTGTGCTCGCTAATCTAGGGGTGTGGGGGGGGCAGAGGAGGTTTTCGTTCTGCTCGCAGGACGCTGCATGTCAGCCCCGGAGCAGGGGGCGGGTTCCTGGGACTGGGGTCTTAAAGGCACAGGCCTCCAATTCCTAGCCTGTCACAGCTTAATCACCGCAGCTCCCCTCTATCCTATACAAGTGATGCAGGGCCAGGGCTGCCGGGGAGGGGGGGCAAGTGGGGCAATTTTCCACAGGGGCCCCCACGAGTATATCGGAGGCTGCCCCCGCCTCCGTCTTCCCCCAAACCCCTGTGTCTCAGCACGCCGCGTCCGGGAGCGGCCCTGGCGCGCTGCAGCGCCGTGGCTCCAACGCTGTCCAGCGCCACTCCTGGACGCTGGAGCCGCTGGGCAGCCCTGCGCAGGGCTACGTTACTGCTCCAGCCAGGAGACTGAATTGTACAGACCCTCCCTCCCTCAAACTCTGCCTCTCACATTTTGAATATGTAAAAGTGTCTTCTATCAGTTTCTATGTCTATATGAAATCACTCACTGCAGCTCATTTCTCTTATATAACGTGCTGAGTTGCTAACTCCCTCCCAGAGCCCACATATCCGCACCCCCTCCTGTACCCCAATCCCCTGCCCCAGGTCAGAGCCTGCACCCCTCACTCAAACTCCCCATAGCCTGCAACCCTCCTGCATCCCAGAGCCTGCACCCCAAAAAGGGCTGGATTAACCTTTTGTGGGCCTGGTGCTAACCATATTTGTGAGCCACCATGGGGGAAATGGGGACATGGGGCAGGGGGGCAGAGTCCTCAGAGCGACGGGCTGGCTGGGGGCAATGGGAGATGAGATGGGTCATGGCACGGCAGGGACAGCCCCGTTCCACCCAGTGCAGTACAAGGGCACTGTTTACAAACCGGAAGCTGCCAGACGCACACTGGCCCGCCCGGCCCTGCGCTCCCATCGTGCTTCTTCCCCTTCGGGGCAGTCCCATGCTGCACCATGCTACCCCCCTGCCCAGCACCCCTCTGACTCCCTACACCCAGTGCCACACCACCCAGAGACCCCCACAAACCCCCATGCCCAGTGCCCTCCCACAGACCACTCCCCCACCCACTCAGAACCCCCCCACAGATCCTCTCACTGCCCAGTGCCCCCTAGCTGGAGACCCCCCACAGTCCTCCCACAACAGCACAGTGCCCTGCACCTCCCTGCCCAGAGCCCCCCCACAGATTCCCTCACTGCCCAGTGCCCCCCACTGCCACAACTGCACAGTGCCCCGCACAGACCCCCCACACTTCCCAGCACCCCGACACACACAGATCTCCCCCACTGCACAGCCCCCCCAACACACACCGATCTCCTCAACCCCCACTGCACAGCACACACACCCCCCAGACCCACTAGAGACCTACTCTCCCACACCCTAACCCCCAGCCACAATAGCCAGCCCTGATGGGAGGTGACTGTGTCTGCCAGGCTGAGCCGGCAGCGCAGCCAGAGCTGGTCCTGGGGCAGGATAACTCCGGCCCTTTGGGGGTGCAATCAGCCAGGCTGGAGCAGGAGCAGAGCCTACCCGGGCCAGGCTCCCTCAGGACCCACATGCCTGGCAGGACCCAGCTGAGCCGCCCCCCCCTCCCCCGCCGTCCCCTGTGACTGGCTGAGACTGGCCCAGCCTCTGCACCAGTCCCAGGTGGCTCTTTCCCTGGGGAGGCTGGTGGGGCCCCACAGGTCCCAGGCAGTGGAGACAGCTCAGAGCTGGAGCAGTGCTGAAGAGTGGGGCAGATCCCTGGGATGTGACTCTCGAGATCCCACCCACACCCGTTGGCCCCGTGGCCAGCAGCCCTGCCGAGCCCACATGGTGGCCCCCAGCTGCTGGGTGATGAGCCTTCTACAGCAGCGGCATAGCCAGGTTCTAACATCAGGGATTTATTGTATTATGTATAGTAAGTGTTTAATATAAAAACCAGGTAGTAAAGTTTACAATGTTATAACAAGAGATTATGCTATTACCATTATCCAGTCAACTTGCACACTACTATAATTCAGAGAGAGAGAAAGAAAAAAGCTGAATTTAGAGAATAATTATTAACCAGATTCTTGGTTATTCACCAGCCACTTTGCTCCAGTCCATAGCACAAAGCACCATAAACCCAGTAGAATCTGGCCAAGAGAATATTCACCTCAAATTGGCATCTGCTACACTCCCCGCCCCCCGCCCCCATTCCCAGTCACCACTATTCAGGATATAGCAATCGTCCAATAGATCAGTTTGTCACATTAGCCAGGAGGAAGCAGGTCGTGAGTGTTTTTGACCACAAACCCCATCCCTCCTGATTCGCAACCCCATGGACCAGTGACAGGTGCATGAGCAGCCAAGTCATTGGAAATAAGCAAGGAGGAAGCCAGTGAAAAAAGTGAAAGTGGCCATTCTGGTATCCCCTTGGGCTCAGGGGCATGCTAGCCAGGAGGAAGCAGATCAATCAAAGGGGACACTGGTATCCCCTTGGGCTTGGGGGCATGCTCCGTACCCCCAAACCTTACCTCTCTTTTCACATATTCAATGAAAGGGGCCACTCTGGTCAGGAAGCAGATCGGGATTGTTTTTGACCACATACCCCATCCCTCCTGATTCGCAACCCCATGAACCAGGCAGTAGCAAGTAACCCAGATGTCAAGTTGCGTGGCAGAAACCACACCCAGTTGCAAAACGGGAGGGTTGCTATTTGTGGCGTCACACCTGTGGCTGGGATGGCTCCGCAAGGGTTACAAATGCTGCAATAAGTGGGGGGTGGCCCAGATCCCCCCACCCCCCATGTATGAACTGGTTTAATTATAGTGGGACAGTTAAAGCAATACCGCTTCGGTGTGTTGACAGCCTTTTCCCCTTAGACAACACTCCAGTAAATAGAGGTAAGGTTTAGTGGTGTGAGTTAATAGACATGACTTCATATTTAATAGTAATCACAGCTGGTCTGGAAAGGCTTTCTTTCTTCCCGCGCTGCTGCAAAACTAGCTCTATGGGCTACCCAGGGGGAGATTTTGAGTTTACAGAAAAATATCAAAAACGGAACTATTTTGAACCTGAAATGCCCGCACTGGATCTGATAGGAGTTGTGCCAGTATTTAGCCTTAGATGGAGTTTACCACCAGCTTTGGGCTGCATTCCCAAGCAACCTGACTCCAAGAAGACCCGGTCCCGGCGCGCCGGGGGCCACTACCGGGCTCACACCGTCCACGGGCGCCTCTTATGGGAGTTGTCCTCTACAGACTGAATTCCTCAGCCGGACTACATCTCCCTGATGCACCACAGTCTTCCCTATGGTGAGCCCATGTGTCAAGCCACGTGTATCATGGGAGATGTAGTCTGGCTGGGGGCCAATTGAGGAGGAAGGGAATATGAACCACGATGACAGCATTTTAGAATTAAAATATTAGGGGTTTTGTCCAGAATATTTCAGTTTGGGGCCAAAAAAACCTTTTTTTTTTTAAAAAAAATTCTGAT